GCAGGAATGAGAATGTTGTGTTGGACGAGTGGACATACTAGAGAAGATAGGATTAGGAATGGAAGCATTAGAGTGAAAGTTAGGGTAGTACCTACTGTAGAAAAAGAAATGGTTGAATCTCATCTTAGGTGATTAGGTTTTGTGTGAGAAGATCTGTAGAAGCCCCAATTAGAGAAGATTAGACTGGATGGAAGATGGAACTAAAGGCAAAGGAAGATCAAGAATAATTATAGGCAAAACCATTGAGAAATAATTAGAAGTAAATGTTTTTTCTGTAGACCTAATTTTGCAATATAACGTTGTGGCATTGTTTAATTTAATCCATATATGTAGCCAACCTCACCAAGTGGAAGAGGCTTGGTTGTTATTGTTGTAGCATAATGATCAATGAATTTATATGCTAATGTATTGCAAAACTGGTGCTAGTGTTACCACTTCTCATTGCTACTGTACTAATTTCATTATAGGAATGTGGGACAGGAAAGTGTAGTTGAAACAAACTCTTCTTGCTATAAAATTACAATTTAGTGTATTTATATATGTTCTAGGAACTGCTTAGGTTGTTTATCTGGTCATGCTTATTTCCAATTTCAATCAGCTTCATATGTTACACTTTTCTAATTTTTACCCTTTTCTTTTATTATATCATTCAGCAGATACCTTTACATCTATCTTCGCAAAGGAGTTTTTCAACTGCATCAAAACCAGGGAGTGCCCCAGCTTCTGGCTCCCCAGGAAAGCCACCTGAGTCTAATGGCACTTTATCAAAGTTTTTCATTGGAAGTATAGCTTTAGGTGCTGCTTTTCTGGCAGCTTATCAAACTGGTTATTTGGATCAATATCTTAAGAAGGAACCGCATAGTGTTCCACAGGAAGCTCATGTCGATGCAACTATTGAAAATTTGAAGAGTGTGCAACATTCAACGGACCCATTAATTTCACCTACTGAGAAATTTAACAACGAAAATCCCACTGTGGAGCTTGCAGAGCAGAAGGTTGATGCCCATTTTTCACAGCCAGAAATCGTAGTAGAAGATCAAGTGGATAAGCTGACTCCTGTGCAAGACAAATCTGATATTGCTGAAGATGGTACCATTGCTGCCAAAGAAAACCAATTGCCTGAATATCCTCCAAGCAGTCCAACATCTGATGATCTAAGTAAAGAATCTGTGGTGCAATCTGACAGGAGTATTGGAATAAAAAGTACCGAGACAGACAATGCCTCAAGATTGGAAGAGGGACTTCAAAATACAGCCACATCTGCGCAGACCAATGCAGTTCCAGATGAAAATGGGATGAAAAATATTCAACCAGAACAACTGGCAATACAAGAAGCACAGGAGAGAAGAGAGGTACTTATGAATTTGTCTAGGTTTGATATACAGGTTAATCATTAATATCAGCAGCTCTAGTCTATTTTTTTTGGTAAATCATGCTGGTTTAAATTTTATATTAGAATGTTAACTTATCAAATGATTCAGTTATTTTCTAGCATTCACCAAAGTTTTTTTTTCTTCCTGTTATTTATTTTTCTAAAATGACTTTTGGCATTTATTTCTTTTTAATATATTTACTTTCTTACTACATTACAGAGTGCATTAGGCAAAGATATAGAGCAACAACCTACCCTCCTTGAGGAGTATCACTTAAGGAATAAATCAGAAAGAAACCCTGCAACTTATATGTATAGTCACGGCTTTACTGAGAATAGCAATTTTCTTGAAGGAAAAGAGGTCACTTTAGAATCTTGCTTTTATATACATATAATTTGTTGTGTGTTGTACCTTTATTTATGATCTGAATCATACCTGAAAGCTAACTTGTTGAAAAACTAGGCACTTAGTGGTGCAATGGAGGAATTGAAAGATGGTTACGTGTCTGAGGATGGGAAACTCGTTCTAGATTTCTTGCAAGCCATCCATGCTGCAGAGAAAAGGCAGGCTGATTTAGATGCACATGTTTTTAATGAAGAGAAGAAAGTGTTAAAGGTTTGGCCTATAACATACCATCCTTTGTAACTCATACTCTAAATCCATGCAAGTGTGCTTAGTATTTGTAGCTTTTTGGTTATTGATGAGCTTTGAAATCTTTATTTTTCTTAAAACATTGTTGACATTAGGAAAAATATGAAAATAAGTTGAAAGATGCAGCAGCCAGAGAACTCATGCTTGCTGAGGAGGCTGCAATGTTGGACAAGGTAAAAAGTTTTTTGTTTTTATCTTTTAATTTTTATTCAATTTAATGTATTTTTGCTTGTTGGTTTTTGTCTTATATACACGGATTGGAATAATGAGTGCAAAAGACATTGAGAGAGGTTGGCTCTGTTATTAAAACAGAGAATAGTTCCTGTTTATCATTTAAGTCATTCATAGTTTTAGAAAAATAGTTCGTATTAAAATTGAAGCTATACTATTATATTCCAAGTTTGACTCAATAATGGTCATGTAAAAATAATCAGAATCTAATTTGAACTCAATCTATCAGACTTGTTTTGTAATTTTGAAGTTTGTCCATCGATCAAGTTGAATGATTTCTTTCAGATGTGCTGTTTGCCTTTCCCTGGCTGTTTTTGTCCAGATGACAAGAATCCAAATCTATGATTAACTCTCTATCTTTCCTCCATTACATTTTAATACTTCTCAGGACCTGAAAAGAGAACGAGCAAAAGCAGCCCTTGCTATCAAGTCACTGCAAGAAAAGATGGAAGAGAAACTGAAGACAGAACTTGAACAGAAGGTGCACATTTAGTTTTTTGTTTGTTTTGCAAGTACTGTTTTCACACTTTCTCTGCATGACTGCTGTTACTGGTATCAGTCACTATATAATATTTGTTAAAATAAAAATGTATCTTTGGGAATTGCAGGAAATTGAAGCTGAATTGAATTTGAAAAAAGTTCAGGAATTAGCAAAGGCCGAGTTAAATGCAGCCATAGCAAATGAGAAGGCAGCTCAAATTGAAAAAATGGCTGAAGCAAATGTTAATGTGAGATTTCTGCTAAAATCAAGGATGGCTAGATACACTCACTTTAAATTATTATTCATAGCTTGACTTCACTTAATTTATGCAAAGGGATATAATTTTGATCAGTGGCTTCTAGAAGAATAAAATAGCCATAATAGTTTTGTGTATAAAAAATTTCTAGAGCAACATATACAAGGACTAGCTTTATCATGTTGGTCTAAAAAATTAACTCATGGTGTGCAAAACAATGTCCAATTATGGTTTAGCTGTCTTTTGCAATTTTTATCAGATTAAAGCCAATAATAACTCTGCTTAGTAGGCAAATGTGTTCTTAGTCATCAGCGAGTTTCTAAACGGAGAAAAAGTTTGTTTACCAGTATAGATTTTTTTGGTATAGAATGTAATCTACATTCCATCATTCTTAGCAAACAAATGCTGCTTGTTCATTACATAGTAGGTTCTTGTAGAGGGATTTTTTGACGAGTAGTGTTAAGATCCAAATGCAAGTGCAGACATCAAAGAAATGGTGTCCCTTTATGTACTGGTGATACTAGGGAACTGCCTTAATTGCTTTATATGCTGAGAACCAAAATAACATCTGTTTGGGTCTTCTCTGGCTTGTTACAGACCCTGTACATCCAGAGCAACATGTTGTATAAATTGTTTGGAGATAACTTTCAGTACAGCCGCATACATCCTAAATGAAAATGTGAAATGTAAATAAGTGAATTTCTTACTTTCAAATATTTTTTTGTCTATGGATCTATGTGTTGCCTCTTCAAAGGATGAAGCATACCAGTGTTTCTACTATAAGTTTACATGGGATTGTGCTGGATATTTGTTTTGTCAATGGAAACCATTATTTTCTTTTCATCAACATCTGTCACACAACTACCGCATGCCTGCCTTGAATTTATTGGGAAAATCATTTGGTTATGCAAACTCAAATTTCTAGCATTGGTCAAGGAACATAAATTCATGTTGAAAAGGACAAAACACTGGGTAGACTTTTGATAATTGCAAAGTGGACAGGACATCATATTTTAGCTAGCGAGGCTTGATTCAGAATATTTATTAATGGACATACTTGTTGACTTTATTTTAGTCGTCGTTGAAATTTGTCTTGATTCAAAAATTTATTTCCTTTCATTTCTGTAGATAAATGCCTTATGCATGGCATTTTATGCTCGATCTGAAGAAGCTCGTCAAAGTCATGCTACACAAAATTTTGCTTTGGTAATATTTTTTTCTTTCCCCTGTTTCTTCATTTTGTTTTCATCTCTGTTTTGCCCATAGAGGAGCTTAATGTCAAAATATGAGTTTATAGTATTTTATTGATTTTTCCAGTCTTGCTTACCAGTTTCTTTTTTGTGAATGCATCCTGCAGAGAGCACTTGCACTGGAAGATGCACTGTCAAAAGGACTGCCAATTGAGAAAGAAATAGCATCTTTGCAATCTTATCTTGAAGGCATAGATAAAGATTCAGTTTTAGATTTGGTACTATCATCCCTTCCTGAAGAAACACGAAGCAACGGCACAGACACACAACTGCAGTTAAAGCATAAGGCAAGCTGTGTTCTTGTCAGTTGTTACTTGTTAACTTCACATGGAATTTTGGATTACTTTATAAAATTGCTACATTTCTTCTGTAAAGTGCTATTTTTATTTATTTGTTTTTTTGTAAATTGTTATTACTTAGTAACCTTGTAAAACTTTTATTTGAAGTTCTCCTAAAGGTCATATACTCTGTATGCTTATAGCATGAATCTGGGTCCCCTTAAATCAATTTCTTTACTTTCCATCAGTGATGAATCTCATCTGTTATGTTTTTAACATTCTTGTAATGCTCCTATCATGTGAAGCTGCCGTAGTGACATATCTGTACAGAAAAATTACAATTAACTAGCGTAGCAATTTCTGGAATTACAAAACATTGCAGTTTCCTGAAATGCACTTGTCTGTAACTACATCAATTCTAGAATGAATCTTTCACTTTTGGATTTCATTCCAGTTTCTAATTAGTGCATATTGTGTTGCAGTTTGATGCCTTAAAAGGCAGCGTACGACACTTCAGCTTCTTCCCACCAGGAGGGGGAGGTATGTTGGCACATTCTTTGGCACATGTTGCATCCTGGTTGAAGGTATGTGGATAACTGACTAACATTCTGTGATTCATGTGAAAATATAATTTATGGGGGCAGTTATAATTGGTGACCATTTAGGCATAATATATGCATTGATACATAAACTAGATGAATCTATTTGAATAAACTTCTCTACTTTTAAGAAAAATATAGGAAGGAAAAATGAAATAAGTTTCTCCATAAGTTAGTTTGTAGAAATTCTCTCATATTCACTTCTTGAAAATTTTATTTTTTCTTTATGCATAAGCTAGTCTTAGAGTCTAGCTTATGGGGATACTTATTTCATTTTTTCTAACTATTTTTTTTTTCTTACAAGTGTTTTTGGAGAAATTTATTCAAACAGATCTTATGTTTATGTTTTTCCCCGGGAACCGAATTCTGAACATGAAGAGTAAAAGGTTCTATTTGAATAAATAAAGTTGTACAGATGCTTTTTTGGTAAAAATTTTTAAAAAAAATATTATTTTAGTAAAAAATTCCCCTAACTTCTCCCATTTTCTTCTATGGAGCTCATCCCAAGTTCAAGATGAATGTTTGACTTTGGTGCATACTCAGGTTAAGGAAGACGACCAATCTGGTGATGGGATTGAATCTGTGATTAATAAAGTTGAGAGTTATTTGGCTGAAGGAAAGCTTGCTGAAGCAGCAGATTGTCTAGAAGAAAGTGTGAGAGGCACACAAGCTGCAGAAATTGTTGCTGGTTGGGTGAGGCAAGCAAGAAACAGGGCTATTTCAGAGCAAGCTGTGCTGCTTCTTCAATCCTATGCCAATTCCCTTAGCCTTACATGATTCCTAAATTTTGAATATTTATACAACCATGTTGATTCAATACCTAAGGTTGCAGAGATTATATTTGGCGGATGATGCCAACGGGAATTATTGACCTACGAGGAAAACGATTAACGTTATTCTTTCATAGCAGCTCAAATTCGTTGATTTTGTGATTTCTATGCAACTCCAATGGCTTTGGGGTTTTGACTGAAGTGACTTCAGGCTCTGTATAATTTTGCCTTTTGTTGCATTGCAACGTATTGAAATTTCAATAATATACACCAGGCGATCAGGACAACGTTGGACGCCACATGTGCATCTGTGCTTTCGATTCAAATTTTAGTTTTTTTGTTGGGTTGAAAATAAATTACAAGTAAATTGATGGTTAAGTAATTATAACGATGGAGTATAATTACAATGTTTTAGAAATTGTTCAGTTGTTATTATAATTAATAATGTTAATAAAATATAAGGGTATTTTTAAACATGTGCACTCAAAATAGGTTTTCTACTCAAACGTGATTTTACTTGAATCATTAGAGTCGATCTCTAATTCGGAGATTGAATAATATGTACCAAGTCTTTGGTCTGAATTTTGTTGTCTTTATAATCTTTTTTATTAATAAAAAAATATGATGTTACATGCAAGAATTTGGGAAAACAAGGGGGGAAGGAAGGGAAACCAATCCCAATCAGCCTTAAAGTAAATTAGTCTATGCACGTAATGTTTTGGAAATATAAAACGCATTTAATACTAAGCATTCAAAAAAAGTAGGAAGATTAGTTAAAAAAAAATGTAAGAAAATCTGGAGTGTGCTTAGCTACCATTTCAACGGTTTTAAACAAAAGTCTCTCACTTTGTAAAACAAAAATGTAGACGGAAGAATAAGGTTCCTAGAATCTAGCCAAAAACAAACAATTAAAATTAACACTGGTTTATTAAATATTCCTTAATGCATATATTTAATTATTTATTAACCTTAAACATTTAAAGATGGAAAAGGTAGCATGTTTTAAATTGCATAATGCTCCTTAGTTTGAATTTTAAGGCAGCTGTAAGAGCCTTATGTTCTTAAATGCACCATGTGGTTGGGAGGCAGGGATCATCGTATTTTGTTGATGCCGAGACTGACATAATGATATTCTCATGACAAAACTTATTTTTCCCCATAAAAAAAAGTTAATCACCTAATATACTTCAATCATATCTTAATAGTGTATAAATGTATAAAGGTAACCATGGCGTTGGGTTGACGCAGATGAATTGAATTGGGGTCAACATAATGGAACAACTAATTGATGTTATCCAATACTATTCAAATCATCCTGTGTTTTGCTGCTTTAACTACTTACCAACACAAACAAATTATTTTTCTATTACCAATTGCAACACACAAAATACGAAAACTTCCCCTTCCACCATAATTTGTCTGTACCATTAGAAAATGTGTTTTTGTTATTATTATTTTATTGGTATGAACAATCTTCAATGGTCCTGCCAAGACTTGTGATGATGGAACTATAGAAGCAGACATACAATACGAATAATGTATATTCTCTTTCTGTAGATTTTTCAATTGCTTTATAAGTAAAGTATTAAATATAAAAAAACAAATAATGTTTTAAAACCATAACAGATATTTATTATTTTCTTAATAAAAATCCTATTAATTCACTCGCACCATTACATCGGAACATAATTAATTTTTTAAATTATTAATTATTTTCTCTGCGAGATCCTTGAGAAGCATTCATTTATTGTCTGCTGGGTTCCGCTGTATAGCCGAATATAAGTACCAGGATATTGCCTGATTCTCTCTGTACTAAAATACTTTTTTTTTTTTTTTTTTAAGAAAAAACAAACAAAATGTTAAGTCCTACCAGTGATGATTATTAACATTTCAATTCCTTTTTCAATTTTGATTATTTGATAAATAGACTTATGCAATTAGTACTTTCTTAGGAAGATGCAATTAATATACTAAAGCATTTAATATATAATTTTTTTTAAAAATAATTTCAAACAATATATAATTCTATTTAAAAGGTAAAGATTAAAGGCAATAGTTAAGCAGAAAATAGCTGGGGGGGAAAGAAAACAAGTGCAAATCCAATTGGTCATATATTTTATTTATTTAAAAAGACATTGCACATGAATACACTTATCATCCAACTAACGAACACCACTGCTGATTGCTTACTTCATGTTTTTTAATATAATATGAAAATTGTGGTTGCATGTTTTCAGTCAATGTGTCACGGAACAACCCCCAAAAGTTTTCTTATGATTATGATTATTATCTTCAACTTCAGAAAGAGTAACGAGTCCCCCATCTCAATCCTAATGCTGACATTTCAACTTCCATGATTATCCTGGGGAGGCCCTCTTAATAAAATGTAAAATTAAAATTGAAAGAATGAAGTGTAGGAGTCCCCTTAAAAATAAAGTCGAAACCGTGAATCTAATTTGTGGATTAAATTGATAGTATTAGTTTAAGAATATAAAAGAAAAAAATAAAGTATGATATGGTAGGGGGTCGGAATCAAAAGAGGGATATTAACAGCAAATGGTTGCAGCTCGTAGTAACATAACATGACTCGTTACTTGCCACTTCATTTGATTGTATATAATAATAATATGAACATCTAACCTCATAACTTGTCACTTCATATTCCAGCTTGTACAAGTATTAAAGTTTTCAACCTCTTACAATGTTCTTGTCTTTGGACTATATTGTTACCATCAACTGTCCTGTCCCGTTCTGCATCATTGCATTGAGGGTTTACGAAATTCATGAAATACAATTCCATTAGTTTATTAAAGAGAATATTACACGTACTTACTTCAAAGTTCAAACACCGAAAAAGAGAATTATCAAGGAAGAAAAATTCAGATAATTCTTTAGTGGTGATTACAATTTTACGAGCCACATTAGTCTCTAGCAGATTAAGATACTCCGAGAACAAAAAAAGTTTAGAAATTCTGAGAAACAATTTTTGTAATTACTTATAAAAAGTAAAATAGGAAGAAAAAAAAAAATGAAAGAAAGCAAACATGTGATGGAAGGTGTGATCTGTAATGTGTTTTGAGTGACGTGGAGTGTGTAAAGGCGAGGACGCTTACCAAAAGCATTGAGGTTGAACTCACTCGCCACTGTCGGTGCTCCGGTGACGCCGAGCTACACTTGTTTTCTTCTTTCCTCATGAAAACGTAAGACACAATCAAAACTGAAAAGTAAAAAATTAAAAAAAGAAAAAGGTACAACCAACTACATTTCTTTCTCTCCTCTTATCTTCTACGAAACCCATACATAGATGCATGTCATGTCATGTCATGTCATGTCATGTGCATCCTCTTCATCACCGTTGCTCCATTCTTCAACACTCGGCCACTTCCATTCATAGCATAGCTTATTTACTTACTATATTGGATCTGAATGAATCAGTGATGCTTTCACTCTTCCAGATCTGAACTTGCTCAACTCACCATGGCCTCCACACTCGCTTGGAGACTCGCTTCCAACAATGGCACCACCCTTGCCGCAAATGATCTGGTACCTTCTTCACAACAATTTCATGTTTCTCTTTTGTCATAACTCCTTTCTTCACTATTTCATTAGGATTAGGAGTGACTTGAGGTCAAGAGTGTTTGTTTGGAGTGAAGTTTATGGATCCGTTTCCCATTTGTTTGCATCTGGCTGTTTTCTGTCCGGTGTTGGTTCAGCCAGTGTTTTGCTCTCATTTTTGTACTTTTGTACTGGATGTAGACAATTCTAGGATGTATCATTGAGGATCACTCAATCATGCAAGTTTAAAAGGACTATATGAGATTTATTATGCAATTATTAAAGCTATGTTTGGTTACACATTTGTATCTTGTAACCCCGGTCAGCTGATCTCAGAATGCAGTACTTACATTTGTATCTTGTACTGTATGGAAACCTCAGTTGAAAGGTAAGAATGTTGTTTTCTTTTTTGCTGATGTGTGATTCTTATGCAAATATTAAAGGGACCATGAGATTTAATTGGTGAGTGATGGTTACTGTAGCATGATTAACTATGCAGCAGATATCGTGGGGTGCAGGGAAGAAGTAGAGAATTGAATACAAGAATGACTGTTATCAAATAGTTTGCGTCTATTTCTGTATTTTACTAAAAGGTTTAGGGGTTTGACTTGTTAACATATGTGGTTCTTTGCTGAATGCTGATATCTTACCTTGCGGTACGATTTTCACTTCCTGTCAGGTTTCCCTTATGTTTTGCTCAATAAGATGCAATCCTATATGATAAAAAAACTCAACTGTACTGAAAGGAAAAGCAACATTATTTGTTTAGTGCTCTGAAAATTATCCTTTTCTTGAGAAGCAACGTAATCAAACTGTCATGTATATTGGTAATGGTTGGAGTATCTTCCATTAGAACTTGATGTACTATTTCATCTCCTCTTTCTTTTAGAACATGTTACTTGGTTATCCATCCATCACTGACTTTATGCATTGGAAGAATGAAGAAAAAGAAAAACCAATAAATGCTCATAGGCTGGTTTTTTATGCTATTCCTCTGTCTGTGTTTATTTTTGTTGTTTCACTGTTTCAATTGATGTTTTTAGTAATATGCAGCATACCTTACCATATAACATTCTCCATTGTCATTCTTTTGATTGCAGGAAAGAAATGGTGATGGGAAGACTCAAGATTCAGAGCCCCCAACTCCACATTCTGTTCTAAAGATGGGATTGAGGTTGGTTACAACTTCAAGCATACATAAAAAAGTCATCACATAGGAACAGTGTGCAACCTAATTACTGATTAATTGCTTGCAATGCTACTAGAATCAATGACTGTAATATATTTTCTTAAGTAGTACATTTTGTGGGTTGCTATCTGTCCTGTTTGCAGCCAAGTAAGCTAACAGTCTAACTGTGAGAATGAACTAAGAACCATGTGAATTGATGCTTTGATTTGGATTATGGGCATTCAAATTTATGTGTAAATTTTTTGCTTCTTACATTTTTAACTGGTTGCTCTTGCAGAGATCGTAACAGCAGCATGGAGGATCCAGATGGGACATTAGCTAGTGTTGCCCAATGCATTGAGCAGCTGCGTCAGGGTTCATCTTCTGTGCAGGAGAAAGAGTATTCTTTAAGGCAGTTATCGGAGCTTATAGATATGCGTGAAAATGCTTTTAGTGCTGTTGGATCTCACTCTCAGGCCGTTCCAGTACTTGTTTCCCTTCTCCGGTCAGGTTCATTGAATGTGAAGATACAGGCAGCAACTGTCTTAGGCTCACTTTGTAAAGAAAATGAGCTAAGGGTGAAGGTCTTGCTTGGAGGATGCATTCCTCCATTGCTTGGTCTATTGAAGTCCAGTTCTACTGAAGGGCAAATTTCTGCTGCAAAGACTATTTATGCTGTCTCTCAAGGTGGTGTAAAGGATCATGTTGGTTCAAAGATTTTTTCAACTGAAGGAGTTGTACCAGTGCTGTGGGAGCAGCTGAAAAGTGGGTTGAAGACAGGAAGTGTAGTTGAAGGTTTATTGACTGGTGCATTGAAAAATCTCTCCAGTAATACTGAGGGATTCTGGAATGCAACAATACGTGCTGGAGGAGTGGACATATTAGTGAAGTTATTGGCAACAGGACAGCCTAGCTCTTTAGCAAATGTGTGCAATTTACTCGCTTCTGTAATGATGGAGGATGCATCTGTTTGTTCAAAGGTGTTGACAGCGGAGGTGACAAAACAACTTCTGAAACTATTAGGCCCCGGTAATGATGACTCTGTTAGAGCTGAAGCAGCTGGTGCTATAAAATCTCTTTCTGCCCAGTGCAAAGAGGCAAGGCGAGAGATAGCCAATGCTAATGGTATTCCTGCTTTGATCAATGCTACCATAGCTCCTTCCAAAGAATTCATGCAGGGTGAGTGTGCTCAAGCATTACAGGAGAATGCTATGTGTGCTCTTGCAAACATCTCTGGAGGTTTGTCTTATGTCATATCTAGCCTTGGTCAAAGTCTTGAATCATGCACCTCACCTACCCAAATTGCTGACACATTAGGAGCTTTAGCATCAGCTCTCATGATATATGATGACAAGGCAGAATCTACCAGAGCATCAGATCCATTGGTTGTTGAGCAGACATTACTCAAACAATTTAAACCTCGTTTGCCCTTCCTTGTACAGGAACGGACCATTGAAGCTCTTGCTAGCTTGTATGGAAATTCCATACTTTCAAATAAACTTGCAAATTCTGATGCAAAACATCTGCTTGTTGGTTTAATAACAATGGCAGCCAATGAAGTGCAAGACGAGCTTGTAAAAGCTCTGTTGACTCTGTGCAAAAGTGAAGGTAGTCTATGGCGTGCACTTCAGGGCCGTGAAGGAGTTCAGCTTTTGATATCTCTTTTGGGGCTTTCATCAGAACAGCAGCAAGAGTGTGCAGTGGCCCTGCTTTGTCTTCTTTCATATGAAAATGATGAAAGTAAATGGGCAATTACTGCTGCTGGTGGCATACCTCCACTTGTTCAAATTTTGGAGACAGGATCTGCAAAAGCAAAGGAAGATTCAGCAACAATTCTTAAGAATCTCTGCAATCATAGTGAAGATATACGTGCTTGTGTTGAAAGTGCTGATGCTGTTCCTGCTTTGTTGTGGCTATTGAAGAATGGAAGCCCAAATGGTAAGGATATTGCAGCGAAGACTTTAAATCATTTAATTCATAAATCTGATACTACGACCATCAGCCAGCTTACAGCATTATTGACCAGTGATCTTCCTGATTCTAAGGTTTATGTTTTGGATGCTTTGAGAAGTATGCTTTCTGTTGCTCCCCTTAGTGACATTTTACGTGAAGGTAGTGCTGCCAGTGATGCATTTGATACCATGATAATATTATTGTCCTCTACCAAGGAAGAAACTCAGGCAAAGTCTGCATCAGCTCTGGCAGGAATTTTTGAATCAAGGAAAGACGTGCGTGAAAGTAGCATTGCTATTAAAACTCTTTGTTCAGCCATGAAATTGCTTAATGTTGAATCTGAAAGTATCCTGATTGAGTCCTCACACTGCCTGTCTGCAATATTTCTTTCCATCAAAGAGAACAGGGATGTAGCTGCTGTTGCTAGAGACACATTATCCCCCTTAGTTGCACTAGCAAACTCTTCTGTTTTGGAAGTTGCAGAGATGGCAATATGTGCTCTGGCAAACCTTATTTTGGATAGTGAAATTGCAGAGAAAGCTATTGCAGAAGAAGTCATCTTACCTGCTACTAGAATATTATGTGAAGGCACAATTTCTGGAAAAACCCATGCTGCAGCAGCAATTGCTCGCCTCCTACATTCTCGGAATGTTGATCATGCTGTAACCGATTGTGTGAATCGTGCTGGAACTGTTCTCGCTTTAGTTTCTTTCTTAGATTCTGCTGTTAATGGATCTGTTGCCACATCGGAGGCTCTAGAAGCACTTGCCATCCTGTCCAGGTCAGAAGAGACCAGTGCAAATATTAAACCTGCTTGTGCAGTTTTGGCTGAATTCCCTAAAAGCATAAGCCCAATAGTCTTGTGTATTGTTGATTCAGAGCCAATGTTGCAGGATAAAACTATTGAGATTTTATCTCGATTATGTAAGGATCAACCTGTTGTATTAGGAGATACTATTGTGTCAGCACCTGGATGTATATCTTCAATAGCTAAGAGGATAATTAGTTCCACAAATGTAGAGGTCAAAATTGGGGGAGCAGCACTTCTTATTTGTACTGCAAAAGCAAATCATCAGAGACTGGTGGAGGATCTCAATTCATCGAACTTGTGTGTTCATCTTATTCAGTCTCTTGTTGATATGCTTATTTCTGTGCAGCCTTCTTTGGGTTACCTGGATGATAACAAGAAGGAATTCATTAGCATATGCAGGCACACAAAAGAAGAGGTTGAAGGTTGTGAATCCAACACTAGCACCAACATTATATATGGTGCTGACTTGATGATATGGTTACTGTCCATTCTTGCTTGTCATGATGAAAAAAATAAAATTGCAATAATGGAGGCTGGAGCAATTGATGTTCTCATCGACAGGATCTCCAATTGTTTCTCTCAATATTCTCAGGTATTTAAGTGCCTTTTTCAATCAATCCAAAGAAATAAACAGTTCATATGATTCTGATCATATGTAATGTTAATAGGGGAAATCATGCTTTAACCCCAACTCCCCCCCTCTCTTTCAAGTTTTGTCCAAAAGCAACTTCGTTGAAACCAAATTAAAATCTTAGAATTCGTTCAAAGTTTCAAAATCTCTTACCTTATCCCCTTGCTAGAGACATTGCATGTGATCATTTTATCAATTCTCACTTGTACAGAATTTAACAAGTTGTATTTGATATTTATCTTCTGAAACATAATGGTTGGAGAGACAGTTAGTTCTGTATATACTATATAATGAAAAATTGTTCAAGACAAAATTAATTTTTTATCTAAAAAGTAGAAAACAAAGTGTTAGGATAGGATATGTACACTTTTGGGTGAAGCTTTGTCAAAGAAAATAATCAGAAGTTTGGCCAATGACTGTTTTAGCTACATTATTATCCACTATGATGTATTATGTTTCTACTAGGATTTCAAGGGAGGGGGCAGGGTTGAAAGTTTGTATGTTTCAGAAACATAAGGGAGGTTAATGTTTTTAAACTTCACTTAGACAAAAATTTAATGTAGATAGACTGTAATTTCCCCCAGTAAATGTTTACTTCTTTGCACATTAAGGCATCCTTAGCTGTAAAACTGAAACAATGTTACTATGTGACAATTATTTCTGTATATAAACCCTGTTAGTTCCCTTATGGTGAACATGCAGATTGACTACAAAGAAGATAGCAGCATGTGGATTCATGCTTTGTTGTTGGCAATATTATTTCAAAATAGAGATATCATACGGGCACATCCAGCCATGAAATCTGTACCAGCACTTACCAGTTTATTGAAGTCAGAGGAATCAGCAAACAAATATTTTGCTGCACAATCAATAGCTAGCCTTGTCTGTAATGGTAGCAGGGGAACACTTCTGTCTGTGGCGAATTCTGGGGCAGCAGGTGGACTTATCTCTTTGCTTGGCTGTGCTGATATTGATATACATGATCTTCTGGAATTGTCGGAGGAATTTTCTTTGGTGCGTTATCCTGATCAAGTGGCTCTTGAGAGGTTATTTAGAGTTGATGATATAAGAGTTGGAGCCACTTCTCGGAAGGCAATACCTGCCCTAGTTGATCTGCTTAAACCAATTCCAGATCGCCCTGGGGCACCATTTTTGGCACTTGGGCTTTTGACTCAGCTCGGTAAAGATTGTCCATCGAATTTGAATGTAATGGTGGATTCTGGGGCCTTAGAAGCACTTACAAAGTATCTTTCACTGAGTCCACAAGATGCAACAGAAGAAGCTGCTACAGATCTGCTTGGAATTCTTTTTAGCAGTGCTGAAATACGAAAACATGAATCAGCATTTGGTGCTGTGACTCAACTTGTAGCTGTTCTACGTTTAGGAGGAAGAGGTGCAAGGTATAGTGCTTCAAAAGCCTTGGAAAGTTTATTTTCTGCAGACCACATTAGAAATGCAGAGGTTGCTCGACAGGCTGTTCAACCATTGGTGGAGATTCTCAGTACCGGTTCAGAAAGGGAACAACATGCTGCCATTGCTGCATTGGTTGGGTTGCTGAGTGAAAACCCATCAAGAGCACTTGCTGTTGCAGATGTTGAGATGAATGCAGTGGAAGTTCTTTGTAGGATCCTTTCATCAAATTGTTCGATGGACCTGAAAGGGGATGCTGCTGAATTATGTTATGCTCTCTTTGGAAATACAAGGATTCGGTCCACAACAGCTGCTGCACGTTGTGTCGAACCACTTGTCTCCCTCCTTGTAACTGAGTTTAATCCTGCTCAACTTTCAGTTGTCCGGGCATTGGATAGGCTTGTTGATGACGAGCAACTGGCTGAATTAGTTGCTGCACATGGTGCAGTTGTTCCTCTTGTTGGCCTAATGTCTGGTAGGAACTTTTTACTTCATGAGGCGATTTCCAGAGCTCTGGTCAAGTTAGGAAAAGACAGGCCTGCTTGTAAAATGGAAATGGTGAAAGCTGGAGTAATTGAAAGCGTACTCGACATCTTACATGAAGCACCAGATTATCTATGTGCAGCTTTTGCAGAATTGTTGCGTATATTGACCAATAATGCTAGCATAGCTAAAGGACCATCTGCTGCTAAAGTGATTGAACCCTTGTTTTTATTGTTAACAAGACAGGAATTTGGGCCTGATGGACAGCATAGTGCATTGCAGGTTTTGGTTAATATCCTAGAACATCCACAGTGTCGTGCTGACTATTCATTGACTTCTCGCCAAGTTATTGAACCACTTATCCCTTTGCTTGATTCTCCAATTTCAGCCGTGCAACAGTTGGCTGCTGAGCTTCTTTCACATCTACTTGTAGAAGAACGTGTCCAGAAGGATCCAGTGACACAGCAAGCGATTGGCCCCCTCATTCGAGTTCTTGGTTCTGGTATACACATATTGCAGCAGAGAGCTGTAAAAGCCCTAGTTAGTATTGCACTAACATGGCCAAATGAAATTGCTAAAGAGGGTGGTGTTGTTGAAATTTCCAAAGTGATATTGCAAGCTGACCCTTCCCTTCCTCATGCTTTATGGGAGTCTGCTGCCTCGGTTTTGTCAAGTATTCTGCAGTTTAGCTCTGAATTCTACTTGGAAGTGCCTATTGCTGTATTGGTAAGGTTACTTCGATCTGGCTCAGAGAGCACAGTTGTTGGTGCTTTAAATGCTCTTCTGGTGTTGGAAAATGATGATGGAACTAGTGCAGAAGCTATGGCTGAAAGTGGTGCTATAGAGGCTCTCTTGGAGCTCCTACGATCTCATCAGTGTGAGGAAACTGCCGCAAGACTCTTAGAAGTATTGCTGAACAATGTCAAGATTCGAGAAACGAAAGTAACAAAATCAGCTATTGTACCATTATCTCAGTACCTTTTGGACCCACAAACTCAAGCACAGCAGGCAAGGTTATTGGCAACTTTGGCTCTCGGGGATCTGTTTCAGAATGAGAGTCTTGCTCGAACAAGTGATGCAGTTTCAGCTTGTCGTGCTTTAGTGAATGTGCTTGAAGATCAACCAACAGAAGAAATGAAAGTTGTAGCTATATGTGCTCTGCAGAATCTTGTGATGTACAGTCGATCAAATAGAAGAGCAGTTGCAGAGGCTGGTGGTGTTCAGGTTGTACTGGATCTGATAGGTTCAAGTAATCCAGAAACATCAATTCAGGCTGCAATGTTTGTTAAACTTCTCTTCTCAAATAATACTATTCAAGAATATGCTTCTAGTGAAACTGTCAGAGCAATTACTGGTGAGTTTTTCTTTGCTTATCTTGCAGTTTATACTGCTTGGCTGGTTGAACACCTTAATACCTTTTTGTTTTGTTAAAAATTTCTAAAGAAAAGCTACATAATAGCATGTCCATATTTTATTTTCTAGAACAGGTACTCTTGGTGTTGGTGTGAAGAAAAAATCGGATTTATTTGAATAATGAAAGTTGTAGAAAATAATACTGAATTTTAAATAATAATAATTATAAGTTCTTTAACAGTAAGATTGGATATAAGTGGACATAAGTGGTGAGTCTTTGTGTGCATTTATGATGATAATTTTATGTTGGTTTAGTTATTGTTAAAACATAATTTTGAACATTTTGGGAAAGTTAAAAAGACACCAAGCGAGGGAATACACTTTCACTTTGTGGAAAGTTTCGACATAAATTGGTGTGTTTGTTATTTATGTTTTGATACATTGAACATGGTAAATGATTTTTGCCTTACTCTTATAAGCCAAGGCATAACATTTCTGAAAGTTTTTCAATAAAATTGGCAAAGTAGATCAAATAACATTAGAAGTGAATGAATATTTTCATTTTTAGAAGAGCTAATTTTTTATTTATCATGCACCTAAAATTTATGGAAGGAAACATAAATTTTAAAACCCGTGTTATGTGATTCTGGGAACTTCAATTTATTATCACATTATTTAAATAAATTGATTCTAGTTATGCACTACACCTTGTAGCAAAAATGGACACCTATTATTGCTTTATTAAGTATTCAATTAATGTAACGTGAACAATTAAAGATTGCACTTCAAAGCCTAATTTACATGTATAAAGTTGCAGTTTTCCTGCAGAATTGATTGATGAACAATGGTGATTCATTCAAGCAGAAACACATCTCCTCCTCCCCACTTTATATTTGTCATGATTTCATGTGTGTAAGCATGGCCTAACACAAGTTTTTGGTTCTTATAGCCGCTATTGAAAAAGACTTATGGGCTTCTGGAACTGTGAATGAAGAATATCTGAAAGCCTTAAATTCTCTATTCAGCAACTTCCCAAGACTAAGAGCAACTGAACCAGCAACACTTAGCATTCCCCATCTGGTTACATCTTTAAAGACAGGTACAGAGGCTTGTCAAGAAGCTGCATTGGACGCACTTTTCCTGCTCAGACAAGCTTGGTCAGCATGTCCAGCTGAAGTTTCTAGAGCTCAGTCAATTGCAGCTGCAGATGCTATTCCATTGCTGCAGTATTTAATCCAGTCTGGCCCGCCTCGGTTCCAGGAAAAAGCAGAATTCTTATTGCAGTGTTTGCCAGGGACATTGGTGGTGATCATCAAGCGTGGTAACAATATGAAGCAGTCTGTTGGAAACCCAAGTGTTTACTGCAAGATTACACTTGGAAACACTCCACCAAGGCAGACCCAGGTCATTTTATTTATAGTTATGATTTCATAGTTTTCTGTTACCTTTCAATCTTTTGTGTTGTTCACGGGTTGTTTTTGTATGTGCGTGCACTAGGATCAAGTGACTTGGGTGTAAAAGTAAATTTGGGGTTTTTTCTCTCCATGTTAGTCATCTAAAAATTTAACCGATGAATGTTTTTTCTTGAATGACTTAATATTATCTGCCTTTTCTCAATGTAAATCATGCCAAACACCAAAAATACTCAATTAGGATGTGCATTTTCAGAGCAGTTTCCTATAAAGAATTCCAGTTGATCATCTACATATTCTGCTGTGGTTTTGCCACATAGATATTAGCAGAACACTTAACCAAAATCATTTTTTTCTGCCCCTTTAAGATATATGTATTAATTGTTGGTTTGCAATTTTACTGATCCTTTGCTCTTGGGCATCGTATCTAATACCACTTCAAGTTTTAGACTATTAACTTTTGACCTTCTTGAGTCTTGAGTTTCAAGATGTTCATACAAGAATTTGAAGTCTGAATATGATTAAGGCAAAGAACGTTGCGTTTTCTGCTGAATGTATATACAACTTTTTTTTTCTTTTATGGAACATTATGTTTTATTATACTCTTTTCCTGAAAAAGTGAATATACTAAATTACTAATATCCTTGGCGATGTGCTGATCAGGTGGTTTCAACTGGCCCAAATCCAGAGTGGGATGAGAGCTTTTCATGGTCCTTTGAGAGTCCTCCAAAAGGCCAGAAGCTTCACATTTCTTGCAAAAATAAGAGCAAAGTGGGAAAGGTAAATGCATGAAAACATACTAATAAATGCAGTGTATCCATCTTCAAATATTTTGCTTCTAGATTTCATTAATGAGTGTCTTAAGGGCACTAATTAAGAAATATTTAATCAGTTTTATTAAAAAAAATTATTTACTTTAAAAATAAATATTAAATGATTTTATATTATTAAAATAATAAATATGTCTTTATTAAATACCTTTTATATTTGTTTCCTTAATCAGTGTCTTGAGACTAATGTTAGCATTTGTGTTTTTACACTTCCACTTATCGCCTATTCTGTGATTTGATGACAGAGTAAATTTGGGAAAGTAACGATCCAGATTGATCGAGTGGTAATGCTTGGATCAGTAGCTGGAGAGTATGCTTTGTTGCCTCAAAGTAAAAGTGGCCCCCCACGGAATCTAGAAATAGAATTTCAGTGGTCTAACAAGTGATACCATCCAGCTTTCAAATTGCAACTTTAAAGATCAAGCTGGAAAGAAATTTTTGGATATATATTTTTTACGTCATGTGTATATATCTGTTGTTTATTTTTGCTCAAACAGATTCTTTTGTCATAATATTCTTTTGTAACTTGGTTTTTCATTCCTTGTATGATTCTTTGCGTGTTGTCAATTTAAATTGAAATAGCGAGTCTGTTTTATCATTTTTCGCTTTGGGGCTTGTATAAGTACGACTTAGTATAATTATTTGACACTAAATTCAATGTAAAATAACAATGACAGAGATTGTTGTACTTGGAGTGAGGCTCCTTTTTGGTACTCATAAGTGATGGAGTTTGTGTTTGTCTCGTTACTTTTGACAATTTCGTGTTTTAGTTTTATTTTATTCTGTGCACACATGTACATATAAGCATATATAGTACTTAGCAAGACAAAAAAAAAAAAAGTTAATCTTGAGTACATAATTATATATGGATGTTTAAGTTATTTATTTAAATTTAATATTAACTATATTAGAGTTTAAGTGTGAAATAAGTTTTACATTAGTTAGAGCTAGATATGTCGAGTAATAGTTAAGTGAAAAAGATTTATTTATTTAATGTTTTAAGATTTGTTATTATATTGTGATATCAAATTTATTTATGTGATTTATTATTATGGATATTTTTCGGTGTTTAAATTATCCATTTTGATTGTGTGCTTAACTTAAGCAGATAAATATTACTCTTTGATGGTGAGCAGGAGCAAACAGCTTGCATCATCAGCTTTAATTGTACAAGTTATTCATCCCCATATATATGATGTGACATATTGGGGCACTGCTAGAATGACAATGTTTTTATGGTATATCTGATATGATTCTTCAAATGAATCCTAATGTGGGCCGAGGAGGTATGTATATATAAGGAGATTATATATCTTGTTGTGGTTTTTGACAAAAGCATGAAATGTGACAAATTAAATGGTCCTAGCTAGGCCATTTTGAGGCTATGTCATGTGGACCGATGGGGAATCCATGAATATTACATTGCATATTATACTCTCACCTAATTCTGTTCAATGTTGCGTGCCAGCTGAAGTTTACGTTTATTTTATTTCATTGTTTCTTCCTTAACAAAAATGATTCATTCGACAACTGGTTCACAAGACTTGAGAGGAAAAAAAAAAAAATTCAACCAATTTGAATGCGTTGCGCAACTTGATGTTGACTTGTATTATTCCATTATCACTGAAGATGCTACTGCTAAGGTCTTACTCATTCAGACCCAAATGGCATTGGATGAGAAATGCTGGCTGCATTATGTTGTTGACAACATATTTGGATACAAATCTAGAATAATTTTTAAGAATTTTCTTATTAAAAAATATATTTTACTTTTAGTACTAGATTGTATCTAAATGAACTCTAATTATCTTTGTAATCTTTATTATTGATTGAAAATCAAATTTTTTTTAGGAGTCTTACTAGTAAATCAAACTCATTGGATGGAGTTGGAATCTTCTCACGTGTCTATTCGGTGAAATCTCAACCTTTGATTAAAAATAAGAGAGGGAAGATTTAAGTAAAAAACAAAAAAAAAAGTATATGAGTTTAATGGCGGAAGATTTTACTAGAGAGAATTCAAGTGAAAATTTCGCATGAGATGATCCATTTCTTATTAAATCAAATGTATGATTCACAAAATTTTTAAGTTTCAATAAATTTTGGCAAATATCAAATAGATTATTAGAAAAAAGTATTGATAACGTTCCTCATGATTGGGTTTAAGGGGAATAAAGTGGAAAGAAAATATGCATAAAAATATATTTCTTCCGTCCAATAATAAGAGTCACTTTGAAGAAAAAAAAATTAATTTTAAAATAAATGTCATATTAATTTTTCAACGTAATATTAATTACCTTATTTTTTTCATTTATACTCATAATATTCTTTAGAAAGTGATCATTGTGTTAACATTATTACTAGTAAAAGAAATTAGTCACAAGTTTATTTTTGTAAAATTACTATTTTATTTATTATTTATTAATTTTTCTTACTCTATGTGATGACCCTTATTATGAGATAAAGAGAATATTTTTTTTATTTGATTTGAGAGAAAATAAAAAAGAAAAAAAAAGGAATTTGACTTCTAAAAATAAAAAATATTTTTTTACTTAGTTTTCTTTTCAATTCAAATTTCATATTTTCTATGAAGAAGCTATAGTTCAATTGATTGAGGTGAATATGTTTAGTTTATGACAAAAATGTAAAGGAAAAAAATAATAAATGTTTGAAAAAGTATCATAAAAAATTAATTAAGTATATAATTTGATTTTTTTTTTCTTGTAACAGTATGGAAAGTAAGAAGCATGTGAAGGAAGGAGATCAGCGCACACTGATGTAAAAAAGCATCTAAAGTAACAGAAGGAGGAATAACAAGTAATCTATTAAAGAGATGGTTATTTACTTAATTATTTATGTGGTTGCTAATAATGATTTTAAAAATAGTGGAAGGGTTGGTAGGTTATGTGAGGTCATACGTGTTCTATTTTTATTATTTTCATTATACACATAAAAAAAATTAAATTAAACGTATACTTATTTTAAGCAAAAAAAAACTCAAATAATTACGGATATTAAAGTCTCATTCTAGAGCATGATACTTTAGATTAGACAAGACAGAACAATTCTTACCAAAGCTGGGTAGAATAAAGTACAATATATAATAAAGAAGAAAGACATACATTGATCAATACTCTTTCTTAATTTAACACTCATTTATGATGTTAAGAAAAGTGTGAAGAAAAAAAAAAGACATGCAAACGTAATTTTTATAAACATTTGTATAAGTGATCGATCTAGAAGGGGAATGGGAAGAGAAGAGAAAGGGCCTATGAAGGCTTTAGCTGCAGCTTCCATCCCCATTTCCTAAAGTAGTTCCTTTTTCTTAATAAGAATATAGAATCCAAAAAGGAAAAGAGAAACACACAGAAAGCTTCATTCAGCTTTCCCTCTTCAAACTCCATGTGTATGTGAGTATGTGATGAACGAGAGGACAAACAAATTTCTTAAAGCAGAATGAACAACCACAAGTAATTGCTAATTCCTATCATTCCCATCCCCATATGTCAACATGCCATTGCATGTCAGTGCAGTTTCTCGTCTCTGATATGCATGTGACATTATGACATATATTATAATTGGACCCTTTTTCACTACCCTTTTCCATCTTGAACAAAACATGATATTATTAATTAATTGGTTTTTGTGTTCAGGGAGAAAATCATCATCATTCATCAATCTAAAGAACCCGATAAGAACATTCTTATTATAATTGGTCTGGTCTTTACAAAATCTAAGGTCTTTCCCACGTTAATTATCACTTTACATAATAATAATAATAATTTTAGTTTGTCATTGTTGTTGACTTGTTGTCCATGAGGGTTAATTTCAACGGTTCATGAAAGACGTAATGTTGACATGTGTCTTTGTTACGATTTAAGTTCAAAATTACACACATGTATATTGCTAAATGCTTTAGCATATGACATGGTTCTAACAATCCACCATTAAGATGCATGTTAGTTTCTCTCTTCTCAGTTCTCACCACTATATATGTTGTTGTTACATTGCTTTAGTTTAGTCTTTTATTTTTTTTTTTGCCTTTCTCTTTGCATCCCACTTTTCCCAAAAGTGAGACCTTTCTGTGCAGTGTTGCTTTGAAAAGGCTCGTGCAGTTGGGTTAATTAATTGTTTAATTTGGGTCCCTTTAAAAAAGATATCATGAATGGAAGCTGCTGTTATGTTTGCTTTCGTTGAAAAAGCATAATTGACGAATCAAAGCTATAATTCAAACATGGTGGGAAATCTTTTTTAAAACACAATTATCATCACCCCGCTCTTATTATGCTTAAATCAAAAGGAATCACATTGTTTAGGATTATAAATATTGCTCAATTTAATTTCTCAAATTATGAAAATACTATTTTAATTTTATTTTTTAGAACAACTATTTTAATTTTTTTAAAATTTAAATATCGGTCCTTTTACTCATTATTGCTATAATTATATAGACTATAATAATAATTTTTAGGTAATATATATATTTAAGGATTATAATAGCAATATTTTATATTTTTAATTACTAAATTAACTAATATTTGTAATTTAAAAAATTAATTTGATGTATATCCAGGTTATGATTACGTGTGTTTAAATCTCTAATTATGGATGTCAAAAAAATTTATAGCCGCAGATATTTACAAGTAAAATCAATTACAACTTATGAATAATGAGTATGTATATTTTTCATATTTGCATGTTTTCTTAATACTGAAGTTAAAATTATGTTAAATTAATTAATTATGTTTTAGTTTATATATTTTTTTTGTAGTGAATTATCTTTGCTAAGAAAATTAATTTTTTAAGAAAGTGATTTGAAACTTACACCTTAATCCTATGAAACTGATTTGTAAGGTAAAAATTATCCTCTATTTATATATATTAATTTGATCATATTGCTAGTACATGTGTAATCTTTAACACAACCTTTCACACCAGGGATTAAACATCTCAAGTATAAAGTTTGATAACAGATAGTTTGATAAAATCAACAACAAAAATCATTAGAATAAGTTTCTAATATCATTTTTAAAAAATAGTTTAAAATTTAATTTAACTTTACAAAATCAATTTATAAGATAATTATTATTTTTCATTTGCATAACAATTATAACAATTTTATGCTGCCAATTTTTTTCTTTTGGTGTTAACACCAAGGACAAAATCTTGAATTTTATATTAAATTTTATGTATGTATAGGAACTAAAACTTATAATTTTCTCATGTAAATTCTAAGGCTTAAAATGAAGACTAAAAGTTTAAAATTTCAACAACCACCGCTACCATGCACATGAAAATTATGACAACTGACAGTTTTAATTAACTCTCATATATAAACGAGAAAAAAAAATTATTAATGAGTAGATAACGGTTATTTTTTCACCATTGCTGGTTCTAGTTACAATTTGCAAAGCACATAACTTTTATGATTTATTTATTTCATATGTTAAAAGATGTAATCACTTCGTTCGGAAACCTCTCAAACATTTAATTACTCTTAGCACTCTCAAACTATGATCTTTTTGGGTAGGTTGTTAAAATGGGTTGGTCTTTTGAAATTTTTAACCCAAGATATAAATACAAGAAGAACTCCCTAGTCCATTTATACTCAATAAAACTAAATATGACAAGTGTATTCCCTTAATATTTAGCTAAAATACCATTTAGTAGTCCCTTCACTCCTTTATGTTTGGGACTAGAAGACAAGTATATTCTCTTAATATTTAGCCAAGCACTAGTACAAAAGACCCTTTTT